TGTGTTTATGATGGAGATGAAGAAGTCTTTCTTTGTGAAGCCTGAAAATTAACCTAAGATCCTTTGTCTGTGGATTAAGTAATTCTTGACCACTTGGTTACAGTGACTTGGGTTGAGATGCAATTTAACCCAAAGTCCACATCCTCAGGTCACGTGACAGGCTGCAGAGCTGGCTGCCTGGTCATTCACCTGTATGCTACAATGTCTTAAAGAGACCTACTGACATTTGTATCGGATCATGGACTTAAAGCTAGAAGAGGACCCGAAGGCCATCCTAGTCCACTCCTCTCATTGTACAGAGGAAACTGAGGCCCAGCATCACACTGATAGTCAACATCTGAGCCTAGGTCTGCCGATTTCAAGGCCAGTTCTTTTTCCACCTGCCCAAAGGAGCAAAATTTGGAAAGGAGATCTGGACCTAGCTTCCCAGACTCCAAAGTATATGCTGTTTCTACTCTATTGTTAATGTAACCAACATTTTTACATAACCATTTCCCACTAATTATATACTGAGACTTACTGAAAATCAATAACATGCAAGAAAAAAATGTTAGAGGGGGCAGTGACTTTTGTCAAGGTAGAAAAACATGTTTCATCTAAGCAGGACAATAAAACTTTTGTAACTCTAGTTCATTATGGGGGTGAAGCCTGGTGCTCATCAAAATCACTGCTGAGTTAAATACACCTCAGGTCTCTAATTTGGTTAGACACAATTTGCTGGAATGCGATTCTACCACTGGCTCAATTTGGGCTAGGTCTGACAAGCCTGAAGCCTACAAATTAGCTATCAGCCCACTGGGCTGTCAAGGGTGAAGAGAAGCAATGATAGCCCTTTTTAGTAATTCCCATTTTGGGAAGGTCAAGGCTATCTCCAATGCAGCCAATCTCTTAAAATCGTGGCAACGGTGTGCATTTGAGAAGGATCCAGACAAACCATCAATTTTCTCCAGGTCTTCTCTTACCTTAGTAACCTGAAGGCAAGTTGTAGGAGGCTCAGAAGATAGCCAATAAAAAGTGGGTTTCATAAAAGGGGATCAAAGTGGTGAACAGTCTAGGCCAGACTTGGGTGTGTGAATATGTCTAAGTATCTGAAAGGCTGCCATATGGAAAGAAAAACTGCCAGACTTGGAATCGGGTAGACCTGGGTTCAAATCCCACCTGACTCTTACTGTGTGGACCACAGCCTTAATTTCCTCACCTAAGGCTAAAGGGGATAATACCTGCAATGCTTACATCATAGCACTGTTGGAAATCACTATATTAATGTCGGGCTCTTTTTGCTTGGACCCCAAGGTCCAATCAAGGAAAAAATCCCCTAAGAATTAGGCCTATCCATAAATAAGAGGTAAGCTGCCTCAAGAAATGTGAGTCTTCACTGGAGGGCTTCACAGGAAGGGTGAATATGTGCATACATCATCACAGCTTTAGAGCTGGAAGAGAGCTTAGCGTCCATTCAGTTCAATCCCTTCATTTTACAGATAAGGAAAATGAGGCCCAGAAAGATTGTGTTTTGCCTCAGTTTGAACAAGTACCAAGCAGCAGACACAGGATTAGAACCAGGGTCTCTGACCCCGAACTTAGCTCTTTCCTACTATACTGACATGGAGTGGGGAGCCTAGCAGATGCAAGCTGAACTGGCCGGTGGGGGGGAGGTCTCTGAGGTTCCTTTCAGACACTTGAGATTATTCTGAGCGACGCATGCTTGGCTAAAGTTTTCATGGCTTTATGTTTCAAAGCTTGACATGTGTTTGGTGACATAAAAACTGAAATGACTAACTGGACCACAGTGGTCTAGGTGAATGTCTGGAAAATGTCAATCAAAATTTTAGGATCACAGCATGCATCTCTCCCCCATCAATCATCTGTATGCCTTTTTACTGGGGAGTAAGAGGCATGCAACCTTAGCAGATGAAGACCATCAACATCTTAACTTGCAGGCTTTTTTTTTAAAAAGAGAATGGTATTTTGTTTCATGTCTGGCATAAATTATCTCAGTTACAACCCCTGGAGCCCACACACATAACCTAGCAAACTTTAAAATTTTATTGAAGTTCTTATGGATAAATTTTCTGCAGCAAGCATTTCTCGATGCTGCCTTGAGCCCCGGGGTAACACAAACTAAGCAAAACCAAGATACGCAGCACTGAGAGGAAAGCTGTTCTCAAGGACCACGTTCCTTGTAGATCATCTGAATCCGGCTGCTTCTTAATGCTTTTCTTCACATGTCCTAGCAATGCTACAGCTAACCTGTCCTAATGGGAAGAACCCCAGGTGTGAAAATCCCTCAGAACAGATCCCTACGCCCTCCCAGCCCACCAGGCGCACTAGATCGTTTCAGTGTGCTTCTGTACTGACATGCACGTGTGTATTTTTTCAAGTAAAACAGAAAGCTAATCTTTTGATGAACCCATTCAAGAGGGACTCGAGGCTGACCAGCTTCCCCATTACGGCCTCTGCTCAACTTTACGGTTGGAAGACGCGCGGTCACCAATCAGAATGGTGCAACTGCTAGTCTCGACAGAGCTCCTCTGTGGTTCTCCTTAAGTTAAGGTTAAGAAGTTCTCCTTCAGAACTCTTGGCAAGGGAGAGGGAGTTAAAGTATTTAGGCTCTGAAGATCTTCCAGGCTGAGTTATAGGCTGCCTGTGAAGTGAGTTTGGAGAGGGGATCTAGCTGCCAATAAAGCGAAAGCTGCCATCGTAGGCATCAGTAAAACCTTAAACATAACATTTGCTAACTTGTAACCAAGGCCGCTTCCGGAAGGTGGAAGAGCACTGGCACGGACCATCAAAATTCATGCCTAGTACTCAGCAGGCTCTGAGGGAGTCTGATTTCCTCCACCCACAGAAGTCTGCTGGAGGGAATGGTCCAGGCTGCACCCTGCAGGGTTTCCCCATGACTTGGGACAAGCTGGATGGGGCCTCCTAGTATTAGTGCCTGCCGAGGCAGCTCAGTGATCAGATGCTGTACTTTTGCTAAGGGCCCTTTTTCTTTGGCCAGGGAATGTACCTCCTGAATGTGAAGAGCAGCACAGCAGGTTGGCCAGGGACAATTAAAAATACGGCTCATTTACTGCACACACACAAGACTTGATTGTGGATATGATTTCTTACTGTATATTTGTAATCTGGTATTGAACTCTATCCTGCTGGGAAAGCTCATGCTGTACCAGCAGTGTTGATTTTGTCTGCAGAATTTCTTCAGTTTCTCTGTCCCTAATACTTCCTATTTTCAGCACAATTTGCAAAGGAAATGCAATATATAAAACATAAGACAATTTTTACTGAAAATAAAGTCATCAGTAGAAGTTGATGTAGACATCAGTTAGATTTCTTAGATGAATGTAAGAAAGAAAATAAAACCACCAAAACCCATCACCACTGCTTAATTTTATTGCAATGAAGAAATTTTAATATAGTAATTGTCTGAGTAGTATGCCACTAAATATAAATTATTCCAATTATTAAAGTTGTCCAAGCAGAGACAGGCATTGTGTTTGGAAATTAGAATTCCAAAATCAGTGGGAGGGAAAAGGAAAAAAAAACCCCAATATGTTAAATACATTGATTTTAGGATTATTTGCACAATAAGCATATTCATTACTGTCTTGAGTGTCTTCACTATCTGGATCCTCCCTTGTTTTAAAGCTCAATTCTAGATACATTGCTGGCACCCATCACAAAATAAACTCAAATTTTCTGCTGACTCAATTTTTTTCTACTTAGGGCTTTATAGCCACAGGTTGTATTTTTAAAATCCAGCACTCCAACCTTCAAGTTGTAGAGGCTAAGGGAAGCAATCTTTCGTGGTAACAGAGCTAGGTTATTTATATTTATATTTTGGCCCATAAGGATAATTACCTACTCTTCGGCAGGGTACAATATTGACAACCCTTTGATTTTCAAGTACTCACTCCTTTAAAATATATCCTCTTTGAACAGGAATAGAGACACTGAGCTACAATCCCTAAAAGCACTTTATATGGTTGATCTGCAAAGACTGTTTTCCAGTGGTCATCAAATATCCGTGAAACCAGATATCAGTTTACTACAAGAATCCACAAACACTAACAAAGTTCAGATTTTCCTAGCTGCTACTCCCCAGGTGGTTTTTGAAGACTAGACACAACTCAGATATTACAAATAGCTACAGGACAAAGTCACAGTTTGAAGTGCCTGTGTATTTATTAGTGATAAGGATTACCTAATAATTTGTAATTTCTGAGAAATAACATCATGTTAGTATCATTTTTATACCCAAATACAGATTACTGATGTTAGTGCCTACCTCAGAACTAGACAAAATCTGAGGTGCATAAGTAGAATGTTACCTAATTCTTACTGTCCATGATTAATCTGGGAATTATCAGAAGCCAGACAGAATTGTTGTTTGTGTCTGAGAGTAATTATCAGAGTTGTGGCCGATTTGGGAGAGAGTATTGGGCAGCTGAAATTGTACCTAAAGAAATGAGAAACTGAGCCCCATAAAACTTAACAGTAAGAAACACTCAAGCGCTAAAATCAATCAACATTTGCCAGGGGAACGTTCTTAAGATAACTGACAGCAGCATCGACAGAGATGCATTACACAGATCAGATGCCATGTTTCTGCTCACATACAAGGACTATTAGGATGAAGCAATCAGACCACATTTGTGAAATGTTTACCAACATACACAAAAATGTATATTTGCACAATTAGAAAACATTCAACACCTTTAGTTATAATACTTGACTGGAAGGTAACTAAAGAATAAAAATAAAGGACTGCAAATAAACGATTCCAACTGCAAAGCAGTAATAAGTATAACTTCTCACAGCGGCTTGGGCAAAGAATCAAATCTGTTTTCATAATTTCAACTTCAGAGGAATGATGACAAGCCTCCTAAAAGTTTATAGAACTAAACACAATGTATTATCCAAAAAACAGTAAACAAGAATGTGAGACAAAAGCAGAAATCAAAACTCAAACTGCCCCAAAACAGAAATCAATCAGAGCCCACTGACTGTCATATGGTCATTTTTATGTTCTTTATTTTCATTGGTACTTTAAAACAGTAAATTCTCTTTCACAGCAGTGCCTCCTAATTTGATAATACAGTACTCCAGTTTCTGAATGTAGAAATTTAAGATAAATCAATGAACACAAAGGCGTGCAAAACAGCTGCTGTAAGTCTGCTCAAACACATGGAATGTTGGCACCGAGTTGCAGCTGCTGTGGAGAGATCGATACACCACACATACTCACGACACCCACACTGCGCGCACGCACACACAAACGCGCGCGCACACACACACACATACACACTCACACACACACAATGTTCTGTGGGGTATCAGGACTTGTGTTTCTCTAAAAACATATCTTTAAATGGTCTTAATTTTGTACAAATTGAAGTGCTGAGAAAAGGTCTAAATAAGAAGTAACAATTAAAATAAAAGGTCTGTTTTATTTGTAAATTATGTACAGAATGCTTTCTCATATTATGATGGGGGAAATGGATGGGAAGGGAAAGAACAGCCACCATTTTCCAACCTACGCTGTTCCCTTTCCTTTGCCGGAGAAAACCATTCTTCTGTCAACCGGATGTACAAACGAGTTTGGATTTCCTAAGTTGGTAGTTAAAGGACAGAATTAGGAGCTAAACAAAATTGTGTGTTGCATCATTACTGACCAGCCTATCTTAAGCAAATAACTGCTAACTCTGAATTCTAAAGAAATTTTCTGGTACAATTTTATGAAAATTAAGAAACATAGCTTAAGTTTCAAGAGTCATGAGTTATGTGTTTATTTCATCCTAAAGTAATTCATAAATAGCTACCTAACTGCATCACCTGAAATTCTGGTCTTTCACTTTCATCTCTTCTGCCACATCTAACAGTAAGAAGCTCTACAGTGCTCAAAAATGCCATTATTCTAAATGCCACTGAGGAAACTACATCTTTGACATTTATCAAAAAGGAATAAAAGCTACTTACTGCCAGAATATTGTTAAATGGATAAAATTGTTATATATGTGTATTAGTGACTTAAGATTGTACCAAAAAAAAGTTAGTAGTCTATAAAATAAAAAACTGAATAGAACTGCCTGGACATCAAAGAGATCTCAGCAAACTGATTTAAAGACTACTCCAAACACTATACATATGTTTTGGTGATCAGCCAACATAGAAAATCCAACCACTTGCACACACTCAGTCCCCAAATAAAGCACGTTTATGATTTTTCAGATGAAGGCCTAGTCGTTTCTTCTTCTTCTTCTTCGTCGTCTCCTTCTTCTTCTTCCTCTTCTTCACAATCTCCATCTGTTTGCTGTTCAAGTTCCTCTTTTGTAATCATTTCAAAATCATTCCCATTTCCACTACTGTGCTGGGAACGGTCATCCTCTCGCCTGTCGCTGTCGGTGTCTGAATGCCGCTCCCCACCTGAGCCCTCTGTTCCATTGTTTCCTAGAGTTCCTATTTTCCCATCATCGTCTTCCTTTTTCTCACTGTCTGATTTTTCCTCACTGTCAGATTTCTGTTGTTTTTTGGCCTCAGATTTCTCATCTTTCTTTAAGTCTGCTTTTGGTCCTTTGTATTCATGTGTGTAGAGAGGCCTGAAGGAGTCAATGAAGCCCACGTCTGCAGTCAGATTCGGTAGGAACCAGAAATGGTGCCTTCCTCCAGTAATGAGCCAAATGATAAGGAATAGTATGCAGCGAGCTGTGAGGAGAAAAATCCCCCAAGTTTAATGTTTCAAGCACTCATGCTGTCACTCAGGTTTGATGTAAAAAAAATTATGGATGGCCCCCTCCCCTGCAGCCACAATACTCATGAGGACACCGAAGGTCCTCAGTGGCATTTCATTTTACTCTAACTTCGAGGACACCATGGCTGAATGTCATTTGAAAAAGAGCTGCTGCTGCCAGATGACATTTTAGGCATTTGAGAACAGTGTAACAATGAGATTCTTGGATTAAAAACCAATGAAATTAGTGGGACAAATGGATAACGCAAGGAATAAGCTTTTTAAAGAGTTTGCACTGTTCTTTATCTTGCATCCCAATGTCAAGATGGCTTCTACCTTCAAGTCACTTACATTTCTGGGTGAAGACGACCCTGAACGTTATCATCAAACAAAACTTTCCTGGTGAAAGATCAATATTTACGTTCCAAACTGCGCTTCTGCGGCTGTTCTCTTCTGGTAGCTGAGCTTTCACCTTTCTAAATTTTTTGATACATAAATTCACTGACCATAAGCAAAATGACACTACTCAAGACAGACAAGTCAAGTTCCTTGAGTGATTTCCAGTTCTCCAGAGAGGGATATTATTTTCAATACACCATCCTTACACTGCATTTTAAGGTTTATAAAGCACTTCCTTCACAACTACCTTGTGAGGCAGAAAACACAAAATATTACCTTTCTTACTAGAAATGAAGGAACCAAGACAGAGAAGTTAAATGACTTGCCCAGAGTCAAACAGCTGGTATCAGAGCTGAGCTTCACATGTGGATCTCCTGACCCCAAGCCTGGTGCTCTCTCCACTTTCCCTGATTTTGACTTTCACACACAGAAGCTCTCTCTTTCTCTTCCCTTTCTCTTCCCCTCCCTTCCCCTCTGTCTTTCTCCCTCTGACTTTCCTTCTCTTTCTCACATGCACACACTTTTACCACTTCAAAGACCCGTGATTCCCTCAGTATGGGTTACTCCCTTCACTAGCACAGATTTCAACTCCTTATGACTTACTAAGCAGGTCTTTCACATGTGCTATGGTTGAAAAGTTCTGATGAAAAAGCTTCTGCAAACAGCCGGACTGGCCTTCAGGCAGCTGATGCCTAGTGCCTCACCAAGCCCTCTCCCCTTCACTTTCTCTAGGAGCTCCTACCAAGCTTATGCCTTATTAGCACAGGCTTTGCAGACCCAGAGTCCTTCCCTGAATACAGTTATTTTAAATAACTATTTTCTATTTCTGCATAGCAAAGTATGTATTAAGAGCCAAAATAAGTAGACAAATGTCGGAAGACTACCTGGTTAATGAGAGGCTAGTTTTACAGGCAACTGTATCACTACTGCATAAAACCCTGAAAAAAGCTCTTTTACAGGCTCACCTTTAATATACTTTGGATGAATAACCAAAGGGAGCAGCTGACTTCACTTCACAAGTTTTCACAGGCTGGTCAGAAGTACTGATTTCCATTTCTACATAAGCACAGCCTCATTTTTTGAGACCTTGCATATTATTCATAAGAATTAATGACAGTAGGAAATGGGAGAGGCCAAAGTACACTCAATCTGTTTTGACAGGAAATCCCACTGATGAATTGCAGAAGAATGAGAGACTTCTAAAAACTGCACACTCTTCTCTTTTCCTGCCTGAACTCTCTAAGATAGCGATGCCATTAATTTGACTCTATGAAACTGAAAATCACTCCCTGCCTATATATGCAGGACAAATTGAACTACCGCATTTTTTCTGCATCAGCCTGCCTCCAATTCAATTCACCAAATCTTTATAATTCAGGCAAGCCAATGTTTCCATCTTATCTCTGCTTTCTTAAATCCTCAGATACTGGTCATCCTTTGGCATACTTTGTAAAATTTTGCCTAGGTGATATCAGAATACCCACTTTAAAATAGGGAAGAGTTAGGGAGAAAATTACTGTAATTGAATGTTTCTGCACTGAAACTGATACCACATTTTAGAAAACTAAAGGACACTACACAAATGGTAGCTATGATTCTTCTTCTTATCTGAAATGGTAACATTCACATTACACATATAATGAACACATCTTAATTCTGACTCCTATGAAATAAACTCAAACCTGATGCACTAGCAGGACAGTGTATTGCCCCAGTCAAGTTCTCAATTTTATAAAGAGGTTGTGATCTCCAGGGTGAGGATTTGTTTGGAACACAGAACGCCTTTTGCCACAGAAAAATGATAAATCTTGCTGTTCAACCTAGCCCACAGATACCTCTTTAATTCATAAGGCAGCTGAGACATGGCATTTACAAAGATAAATACTACTAACTAACCAATATTATTAAAATTATAATTAAACAAAACAATAACATTAGCATCATTTTAATTTGAATCCTGGTATGTAAGGAAAAGCAGTCTTAAAAGAGGGTAAGGAAAGAGATGGAGTCTGTTGTGGGACATCTGCAGGGGACTTCTAGACACCTGCAAGGCTGTGGGAAGTTGATAGCCCTGGGTCTTGATGATGCCTTACTTGACAAAAGTTAAGGCTTTCTTTTCCTTGGTACTGCTGTCTCCCTAGAAATTTTCTTCTGACTTGCAGTCATAATTAGGGTGGGGGCAAGGAGGGAGGGAGGCTGGTCACCAATGTAATAAAGAGGGAGACAGACAGATGAGACATTCTCCTGTGGCAAGTAAGCAAAAATTGGGAGAAAGAAGAGTTGTAAAAGCAAGAGGATTACCACAAAGTGTGTCTCGGGTGTGAAAAGTTGCCTGAGGTAAAAGTTGGCTGAACTACTAGCACTCCAGGACAGGAAAAGGGAGAAGCTGGCCACTAACCGGAGCAGCCCCACTTCTCTTTAAACTCTGACTGAGGTAATGTCCAGGACACAAACACCGTTAGGGAGCAGACCTCTGCCCTTTGTGATTTTACATCTTTAAGGAAGTGATGCTCCATTTTTTTCTCTCCCCCAACAATGAATTCAGCTTTAAACACCATCACTCAATGCGGAAAAACCTGTCCCTAGAACATGCTTTGTAAACCAGGATGAAGTATGAAGAACCCTCACTCTCAAATCTCTAAAAATGCACTACTCGGTCTTAATCCCTTCACAGCTCATCCAGACCAAGGCTTAATCTTCTGCCCACAATCAAACAGGCCCGTGCTCCCTCTTTTCTGCTCATGCCCACCATGTCTAGGTAACCTCAATCAAGTACATATTTCCTCAGGCACACACTCCAAGTTACAAGTATACAATTTCTAGGGTGTGTTCACAAAGAGGAATAGCAAATAATTTTAAAAGTATAAGGATATATACGTATAAGGACTCTATCCAGTGCAACCTAACCTAGATCTAATTAAATTCCCTGGATCCAGAAGCTCCTGGTAACTGGGGCTAATGCCCTTGCCATCCATTTACCCACAACTCAGGGAAGAAAGCTTTTCTCACTGCCCTATCCATTTTGGGCTGAGTCCCAACTCAGCCTGCAGTCAAACCACCACCGGATGGGCACCCACCGGCCATGAAAGTGTCAAGGCTAACCCCTCTCACCTGGCTGGTCTTGGGATGGGCCTTCTGGTCCCGAGTTAACTCTTAGTATGGAATGCCTTCTAGAGTTTGGCCCCAGTCCACCTGTCTAGCTTTATTTTCATAATGAACCCCTTACAAACTCTTACATTCAAACTAAAACAATCTGCCTGCCTCCGATTCAATTCACCAAATCTTTTGAATTCATGCAGGCCAATTTTTTTTACTAGAACATGTTCCCTTCTTATAGGTGCCGTCTTCCCCATGAAAAGCCAAGAGCTGATGAACATTCTTTTCTCCTTAGGACATTCTACCTCGTAGCACAACTTGCCCCAATCAGACTAAAAGCTCTTCAAGGGCAGGGTTTATGGTATTTCATTTTTTTAACTCTAATCTCTGGCACAGAGATATTTAATGTTTATAGAATTTGCTGCTTCAATGAGATGGGATTCTTTACCTCCTTCTACCCAAACTCTGAGATTTACTCTGAAATTTAAAGCCCTCTACAATTTGACACCAATCTCCATTTCTGGTTTTATCTACAACTCTTTACACATTTTAGGCCTTCACTAACTGGAACACTTGCTATTCACTGAAGATCACCAGTTCTGTTTTATTCATGCTATCCCTTCTGGTAATGTACTTCTCTTCTCACTGCACTCACACCTCGAGGTCATATCTTCATCAGAATGTAAGCTCAGTGAGGACAGGGCCCACACACATCTTATCTTCGTGTTCCTCTCATTTTCTGGCACTGTGACTTAGCACACAGTGGTTGAGCATTAAGAATGAACTGAATGAAGAATGTGTAAGACAGCGACACCACAGGTCAAATCATTGTCATACCCCAAAACTGAATGCAAACAAAGTATGTATAGTTCTGGGACAAATCAGCAGAAGAAAAAAAATTCTTAGAGAACATAATTTAGTTTCTGGAAATTTTGCAAAACTACTTCAGTGGAAATAAATGCTCCTGGAAACAATAAAAACCTAAGCAACTTTAACAAAATGCTTAAATTTAACCAATGAAAAAAGATCTAACAACAAGCAAAGCAAGGTAAAGCAAAAAACAAAAGAAGTTAAGTGATAGGGAGTCAAGTCTCTGGTCTGACACTACTTAGCTGTATGACCTCTCTGGGCCTGTTTCTTCATCTGTAAAATGAAGAGGTTGGGCCAGATTGCCTCTAAGATTTTAACCTTAATACTATGATCATATCTTCCCCCTACACTTCCCACTACTATTTCCTTGTCAGAATAAAATATTCATGGAAATTTAAATCATAAAATACTCTCTATTCTTCTAGTCCATTATCCAAGCTCAGGCCTCACTTCCCTCTCTTAACAATCTTAACACTATACTTAACTCAACCATACAGTACCTACCCTTCATCCATCCCTACTGTGCTGCTGAATGATGCCGGAGGAAGGCAGGAGACCATATTAACCGGGTCCCCTACAAACTCGCAGCATTAAATCACCCATTAGGCCCATTCCCAACCTTCTTTTCTTCCCAAGCTCCAGCAGTATGTGAACATGCCTGTTTTACCAAGAAAACTCAGGCCACTAGTCATAGGCTCCTTCATTTCCCCAGCCCCCTACTTCAGAACTCTGGTCTATCTTCACTCATCTTCTCATTTGTCCCCATCTTTAAGGAAGAGGAAGCACTTTTTACCCTGTCAAAATGAATTCTCTGATGTGTGCTCTTGATCCTATGACCTTCTGCCTTCCAGCAGTGGCCTCTCTAATCACTTTCCTCTCTAATCTTCAATCTCATCTTGAATAATGGCTCCTTGCTGGTTGTCCACAAATACACCTAAATCTCCATCTTTTAAAAAATCTTTACTGGATCCTGCCCTGCCCAAGTCATCTTCTCTCTTACCCCTAAAGGTCAAGAAAAAAAAGGTACCTCCACGTCTTGCCTGATTCACCCCTTCCCACACACTTGACTGCTTTGCAATCAAGGTTCTTAACCCATCACCGACTAAAAGGGTTCTCTCCCAAGTTACCAACCAAACTCTTAATTCCTAGCTCTGATGGCCTATTCTCAGTCATTACTCCTCCTCATTCTTGGCAGCTTCCACTACTGCCAGTCATCCCTCCTCCTGGAAGCTCTTGCTTACCTCAGCTTTCCCGTCTGATGGAGCCTTCACACAACTTTGTCATTCTTTTCCTGTCTCTAACACTTGGTCCTTCATCTCCCTTCTCTTCCTTATCCCCACATCTCCAGCTTGCCCTTCTTCCAAGCTTTCCCAATTCTGTGGGGGGCACAACCCAGTTTCCCATATTTGTAACTAGCAATAAATGAAGTATGGTTGACTCCCGTCTCCCTCCACATCCCGTAAGTGGCTGAGTGTTGTTGATTCTACAACTGACACAGCTCTCACATCCACCCTTCTCTGCACTCACAAAGCCACTATCCTAGTTCAGGCTCTCAGCCTCTCTCACCCATATAACTCTAACAGCCTGTTTCCAGTCTCTAACCATCCAACCTGTCCTCCAAACATCTGTCAAAATCATCTCCAGAAGGCAAAGGTCTGAACGCTCAAGGATAAACCACAAACTCATCACCCGAATGTTTGTGGCTTTCTTTAATGGGAATACAACCTACTTTACCTTTCCAGTCTTATTTCACATTACAACGATTCACACAGGGTCTAATCCCATCAAATCTGACTGTCTGATGTTCTCTACACTTGATACTGCATCACCTGAATTTGAGAACCCACACTCTCCCCTATCTAGAGTGCATTTCCTGATTCTGCCCCTCAGAATCCTCCTTTTCCTTCCAGAATCCCTTTGGTGCCACATCCTCCATTAAGCCTTCCTTGGCTGCTCTCCTTTCCCAAATTACCCTTTATTTACTTCTTTACAAATCCTGCATTCTCCTATTAGAATGTAAGTTCGTTACTTAACAAGCACTTACTAAAGGTCTACTCTGTGCCAGGCACTGGCATGATGGAAAGACTAGTGGACTTGAAGTCAGAAGGCTCTGCCACTTACTACCTGTGTGAGCTGGGGCAGTCACTTAACCTGGATGAGTCTCAATGTCCCCCTTTATAAGATGAGGGTGTTGGACGAAATGACTTCTACAGTGCCTATCCAGCTCCAAATACAGGCTCCTACAGGAACTAGTCAAAGAAACTAGGTTAAAGTAAGTTTTTTCATATTTGCCCAAATTCAGTCAGGCACACATCAATGCCTTTTTAAAGGGATGCGGGTTGTTTTTGTTTTTCTGTTTTGTTTTAGGGGGTGGGAGGCAGACTTGGGGGTAAGTAGTCAACTTTGGAATCTGACCAAAGTGAACAGTGAAATCATCGTTTGTCCATTTCTAGATTTTCCCAAATGCTTAGATATTACTGACTGCTGATCAAGCCCAGAATTACTGCCTTCCAACTAGAATGAGGTTTTGGAGTTTAGTCTGACTTGCTGAATACCTACCTTACTGAACTCATTTTTACTGAAGAGAATACTTACCAATAGCAAGCAGCAGAATGCTGGCCACAAAACAGCCGGCTCCTACACTGAGGTAATAAACACCCACTCGCATCTCCGCAGGCCACAGAGGGAAGAGGGTGGCAGCTATCACTGCAATCACTGCAACAACAAAGCACCAAGGTGCCGAGCTCATTTCTGGACTCAAACTGAACTTATTAACTTATTAACCATGACTTAACAAAGGAAGCTTGTAATACTGTTATTTACATTGTTGGTGGAGGAAGATGCTTTAAAATATTTCATGTTCTATTTATAAACCGATTTGACATATAAACTTAAGATTAAACTCTGTGCTACTAATCAAACAACTACTAAGTGCTTAGGGTTCAGGCCTGGCAAACGAAGCTGCAGGCAAAATTCAGACATTATGTTTTGGTACCTTCAATCTTCACCTGACGTAACATGGGACACTGCTCTTCTCTCTTTCTTAAAGGGATGAAAATGCAGATACCCACCAACCTAAACACGACCCCTTCACCGGTGTTACACAAGGTTTAAGCAAGCAAAACTCTACCATAAACCCTGGTTTGACAATTTATACACAATCTAGTGATTTTCTCAAAAATCACAGTAACAACTATATAAGATAACTTGAAACAAAATCACAATTTCTAATCTCAGAACTCCCCCCCCAAGAAATACATGATTATTTAAAAAAAAAAGGAATTGAAAAAGAAATGGTAAAATGGAGGCAACTAGTCGTAGTAGAACGTCCTTAGTAATCACTTTTCTTCCTTCTTCTGGAATATCATTCTAGTGGCTCTGAGGACAGTGGAGAAGAGCATGCTTTTCTGGAGGTTTGCTTACTTCTTCTTGCCATGTTAGAAATTTTGGAGGGTGATAATTAAGATCAGCTGTTTGGGGAATGGATGCCCTGTAGCTGAATGGATTTTTGGTCACCAATAACTTAAGGCACGATGTTTCAGTAAAAGACTTATATTGATTTAGTATTTTAGAATTTAAGAAAAAATACTCTTCTTACTTGCGTTCCTCACCTGAAGAGTGATTCAGACACTACATACCTATGTCAGCATAATTTTAAAAGGCTCATCTTTAGATAAGATTCATATAAGAAATGCATAAGGAAGACCCACTTATCTCAGCTATTTCCTTCCCATCTTAAGGTCACACTTAAACTACTTATTCACTTACCAAGAATTAGTCCCATGGCAAATGTTTTAAAGTGGACTGGGTCATAGATCCACACATACACCTAGAGAAACAAACAGTTAAATGTTTCCATAAAACAACAGAAAGTTAGAGATCCAGTTATAGTAATTTACATGTTGTGTATATTAGGAAAGTGATACCATTTTGGAATTCAAAGCAAGGATCCAAATTTAATTAAATACTTCAAACAATGTACTAATCGAGCTCTAGTCTAAAAAGCCAGATGCTCTGATTGAAATTGGTATATCTTATTTAGTAAAAGACTATTCTATTCAGTAGAAGCACCAGACACTTAAGGAGTTTACAATAACACAAATAACTACTCTAAATTTTTTACTTCAGTGTCAAGACTTTAGGCCATCAGAGAAGTTTATTAGAACATTACACGTATCTGTGGAATAGAAAAATCTATCCTAGAAGTAAATGTTAACTTGGTGGCAATTTTTGCTATTAGTAAGCAAATTATACCGGATAGCTTTAGGTTTTAAACAGTTTGCTAACCCTTTTCACAGTGTAGCCAGTGACTGAGATATAAGGTAATATGAATGTAATCAGACTGAGTTATTCAGATATATGACTGACCATCTAAAGAAGATCCATCATATTTCAAACCTTTGTGATTGCTTCATTCCCATCTCATGATTTCTACTGATAATCACAGTTTAATTTCTAGGCTGGATACACTAACCTCATTTCCATCCAGGAACACTTGATCTTCATGTGGTTCCAGTTTGAATTTTTTCTTGGCTTCTTTCTTTTTGGGTGTTCCTGGTGTTTCCTCCTACAAAAATGTACCCCCCCCCCGCCATTAACAGGGTGAAAAATCATTTTTAAAAAACGTATAATCTCACTGCAAATGAAATTAAAATATTCATCAAACTAGTAATTTTCAATGCCATATTAGCTATACTTTTTACATTATGTTAAGGAGTTGAAAACTCTGGAAAATGAAAACAAAAAAAACCCCCAAAACCACAAAAAACTAACCCGGACTATTCAAGATACCAAAGTGCCATGGGACACTTCCAAGGTACTGTATACTTAAAAAACACAACACACCACACATACCCCACAAGCTGCTTGATAAAAAAAAATCAAAACCCTTAATATTGCAAAAGACAATGACAATGACTGACACGAGATGGCCAGGAATAACCTGCATTTGAGTAGTCTATCATTACAAGCTACTTCACATCTATGACCTCATTTGGCCCTCCCAGTTCTGTATCAGTGTTTGTGTATGTATTATCTCCATCCTCCAGAGAAGAAAACTGAAGAGAGGGCAGGGGTTAAGTCACAGAATGTTATTGTTGGAAATAACCTTAGAGATTATTTTTAGTCCAAAACCTCACCTGACAGAGGAAGAAACAAAGGTCTGGAAGTTAAAATGACTTACCCAAAGGTCCAGAGCTAGTTTGTAATGAACTTCCACGTTCAAGAACTTGAGAATTCCTAGCCAAACAAAATTTTTTAGCATTCCATTTCTCCCTATGGCTTATTCCTACTCAACCAATTCTTAACGCTCACTGGGACCTGCCATTAACTACTTCTCAGTGCCCTCAGTCCTGTCCCAGGCAACCACCATCACTGGCTACACTCTCCATCCTTTGCAAGGTCAATCCTTTGGTGAACCAGTTCAACTCAACACTATCTGCCAGTCAAAAATCTCTCGCTACCTTGTTCTACTGCCACTGATGTTTTGCTAAATTCATGACCTATCATGAATTATACTCCTTCCATCCACCCTCATCTTCACCTCCTCATGTGCTAAGATGAATGTTGAAGGAATTCATGCAGCTCCTCTAACTTGGTCCACTACCAATTTATATAATCTACTCTCAACTGAGCCCTCACAGCAGCAGGGTAATTCATCTACTCCTCATTGATTCTCCAGCCACATCACAGCAGCTACTCCAAATCTCCTTTCTTTTTGTTTTTGTTTTTAAAAATTATATTTCATTTTCATCAATCAGCAAAAATCTCCTACCCTCTTTCCCCCAATTAATAAGAAAAACAAAACTCATTATAAACATGCACAGTCAAGAAAAACAAATTTCCATCTTGGCTGTGTCCATAAAAAAAATTGTGTCATTCTGCACTGAGTCCTTCACCTGTCTATCATGAGGTGGGCAGCATGTTTCTTCGTTAGTCCTCTGGAATCACAGCTGGTCATTATGCTGATAAAAGTTCTTAATTCTTTAAGCTGGTCGCATTTACAATATTGTTGTCATTGTACAAATTATTCTCCTGGTTCTTTCTCATTTCACTCTTCATCAACTCATAGGAGTCTTCCCAGGTTTCTTTGAAACCACCTCTTATAGCAAAATAATATTCCATCACATTTATAACTTGTTTATTCATTCCTTCATTTGTGAGCACCTTGTCAAAATCCCATTCTTTGCCACTTGAAAAAGACCTGTTACTATGTTTTTGTATATCCTTAGAAGCTGTGTTGCTTAGGACTAATCGCTCTCTTAATCTGGCCTCCTTCTAATTCTCCCTCTTGCATTCTCCCCTTCCCTATTTCCCTGCTGACTGAAATGTATCTCTGGGCCCAGCTCTTCGTGTGCATATGTAGTCATTCTTCCTTCCTTTAACCAGTGTAGATGAGAATGAGGGAGCTGCTCCTGCTCCCCCTCCCCCCATCTTTTGTTTAGACATCTTCTTGTACGCCCTAACAATCTGAGATAATTTCCCCTAACACACCTTTTCCTCCCTCCCACCATGCACTGTGTATTCCTCTGCCCCTTCTTTTTGTTCTTCTCTTAAGATCTTCCAGATGTACCCAAACTACTGCAAAGCTCTCACTTAGAGCTGTGGCTGCTGAGTCACGCAGGATCTTAACTGCAGCTCCTCAGTACTTGAACGCTTGCTTTCCGGCTGCTACAAGTCTTTTCGCTTTGACCTGAAGCTCTAGATTTGGGTTATGATGTTCCTGGAATGTTCATTTGGTTTTCTTCCAGGAGATCTGACTGGTAGAATCTTTCTGTTTCCATTTTTGCCCTCCTGAGTTATCTTTAAAGATTTCTGGAAATAAGATGTCTAGGCTTTTTTCTTTGGTCATGGTGGTTCAGATAGTCCAATAACTCTTACACTTTCTCCTAAATTTGTTTTCCAAGTCCACTGTTTTTGCTGTGAGATAGCTTATATTGTCTTCCTTTTTTTTTTAACCCTTTCACTTTGTTTTAATATTTTGCATTGTCTTGTGGAGTCACCGACTTCTATTTGGTCCATACTAATTTTCAGGGAATTTGTTGTTTGGGCAAGGTTTTGTACCTCCTGTGCCAAGCTGTTAATTCTTTTTCCAATTTTTTCCTCTATTGTTCTCATTTCCCTTCCAATGTTTTCCTCAAGTACTCTCATTTTGTTGATAAAAAATTTTAAACTCTGGCTTCCTCTCTTCTAGGAATTTTAGCTCAGTCTGTGCCCACACTGTATTTTACTTTTAATTTCTTAAAGATTTGCCTATGGATGTGTTTTGGGGTCATTCCTGTCTTGATCTTCTTGTCACCATATCTCTTTATGGAGGGATTCTTCTCTTTTTTGCTTATTCTCCTTGTCTACTTAACTTCGGACTTGAAATTAGGGCTGAGCTCTGCCTCATTCTGGAAGGAAGGTCTCTTGGGACTTGTGTGACTGTGGGTGATTGCTCCCAAAGTGGTCTGACCCAAAGTAAAGTCTGATCACTACGTCCCTGGTCTGAGCTCTGCAAGTCCCTCACCTGGATTTTGGTCTGAGAAAAAGTAGACTGCTCCTGGACTCAGCCCCTGTCAGACAGCTGCAAAGATCTGCTGGTTCAGAGTAGCAGAACTGTAGGCTCCCCTTTGGACTAGGATTCCTCTACAAGCTGGGCTAGATGCTAGAACTGAGATCCTGCTCTGCTTTTGGGGTCTGAACCGCACTGTTGCTGCTGCTTCTCAACTTCCCAGGTACTTCCTACCCAGGAATACCAAATACCACCTCTGGGTGCCAGTTCTCTTCTCACTCTACCCTGGATCTGTGACAGAATTGGGTAGTGGATGACAGCTGCCAGCTGGTACCTGTCCCCATCATGATGCTCTGGTAGGTCAGGGACCTCCTCTTGCCTGGGTGCACAGTCTCTTCCTGGGTGATGCTCCATGACAGCCTATCCTTATCCCTCATGTCTGCAGACCTTTCTGTCTCTCTATGCTTACCAGGTCTAGAAAAATTACTCACTGTGACTTTTTCTGGAATTTCCCACCAGGATTCAGACTAGTGCATTTTCTAGGTCTATTTGGGGGAGTTTTGTGGAGGGGAGCTCAGCAGTACTACTTTCTGCTACTCTGCCAACTTGGCTCTACCTTCTTTTCTTTCCCAACTTTCCCACAGCATCCTCTTCCCCCCTATTTTCTCAGATGAGAACCTCACCTTAAACTTTACTAAGAAAATGGAGATTATTTGCTACAATCTCCCTCCTCTCATTTCATACCCCATGACACTGTCCCACAGCATTTCCTTTACTACAGTCCCTTAAAAGGTGGCCATTCTCACCAAGACCAATCCCTCTACATGTTCCCTGGATCTCATCCCCTCACTATCTCCTTATTATGATACCCACTACCACTCCCCTTTTAATTTTCAACCTCTCCTTATCTGTTATTTCCTTCCATGTTGCTCACAAATATGCCTATGTCTCTCATCTATAAACAACCATTACTAGAGTCTACCATGGCCACTAGTAATAGTTTTCTATCTCTATTCCCACTTTCAGCCAAATTCCTTGAAAAAGCCATCTACCACCACCATCCCAGACCTGGAATCTAGAACGGTGAGTGCTGGCATCATTTTACCTCTTGGTTTCTTGATTGGTGAGATGAAGATAATAATACTTGCCCACCTGCCTGCTCGGGGCCGCTCTGAGACAAAAGTGAGATATAGGTGTCATCGCTCTAAAGTGTATGGAAATGAAGGCAGAAGGGAGAGCTATCTATTCTTTATATCTGGGCTTTCTTTCTCATTCTCTTCTTAAATCCCTGTATTTTGGCTTCTGATCTGTTACTCAGATGAAATGGCTCTCTCCAAAGTGGCCAATGATCTCTTAATTGCCCAGGCAGATGGCCTTTTCTCAGCTCTCACCCTTTGTAACCCCTGCAGTCTCTTAACACTGTTAACCACACTCTCCTAGATACTGTCTCCACTCTGGGTTTTCAGGCGCTGCTCTCTCCAGGTTCTCCTCCTTCCTGTCTGACTGCTCCTTCTCAGTCTCTTTTGTAGATTTTTATCTACTTCCCCCCCACCCTCCTCCCCAACAGCAGGAATGACCCAAGGCTATTATGGACCCTCTTTTTTCTCTGTAATTTCTCACTTGGTGATCTTATCGCTTCCCATCAGTTCAATTATCACATCTATGCTGATGATGTCCAGATCAATATCTAGCCCTAGTCTGTCTCATGAGCTCCAGTCTGCAACACATTTCAAACTGGATATCCTATATTTCAAGATTTCATCCCCTCTAACATGGACTCTTGCAAGAGCCTCCTCATCAATCTTCCTGCCTTACCTCTCTCCCAACTCCAATCCATCTTTCCACTTGCTACCAAAGTAATTTTCCTAAAAGTCAGTTCTGACCATGTCATGTCACCCTTTCCCATACCCCATGCAGTATCACTCTATCACCTCTAAGATCAAATATAAACTCCTCTGCTTGGCATTTGAAGCTCTTCACAACCTAGCCCTTTCCTACTCCACTGCCCCTCCCCCCAGCCCAGCTGTCTCACAGAATCCCTGCTTTTATCAAGATTCACATCCAGTGCCATCTTATAGAGGAGGGATTTCTTAAGTTTCCCCAGCTACTGGTGCTTTCCGTTCTAAGTTTACTATGATAATAGAAGAAACAGAATATTAAGAGCAACTAGTCAAAGGAGGAATTCTTCCCAAGAGTAGCCTAAGGGAACAGTTTGGTTTATCTCTGTTGATAGGCAAAACAGCGCTGTTGTTATAACTTAATGCAAGTGACTTGATACCACATAGGAAAATTTAAAAAATGAGGAAATGTCTAATTTAGGATGGACACTATGACGTGCTAACTCACAATCTCGAACTCTCTGTAACTGGTAAATCCCAAATCTGATGATGACCAACAATCAAATGTTCCGACAGACTCGTACCACCTCTGGCAGGACTCACCTTTTTCAACTCCTCCTTTTCACCATCTCTTTTTTTCTCTCTCTCCTTCTTAGCCTTTTCATCCTTTGGATTCTCTTTCTTGCTTCTTTTCTCCTCCTCTTTCCCACTCTCTACCTTTCCTTTTTCTTTCTCTTTTTCTTTCTTTGTGTCTTTGTCAAGTTTCACTTTCATTACTTTTAATGCTCGGTGAAAGAACTGTTCTTTAAAAGCCTTTAAAATAAACAAAAAAGCCATTAAATTATTTATAATCACTTGAAATCTCTTGATTACTATAAGGATAATTTATGTAGCAAAGAATTCAGTAGGTAGATCCCTAAATACCCAATCCTTCCTAAGTGTCTTAAGGATACCTACCCATCTTTAAAAATGTCTACATGGTTTTAAGTAATCCTAATAGAATGGGGTTTGTGTCCAGAGCTAGACCATAAAAAGTACCACCACACCCACTCTTCTTCTCTCAAGTGTGTGTCCAGTTTTAACACTCTTTAAGTGGGGGGATACACTGTGGGCACTGATTAAGCACTGACAACATGCCCCTTTGGGATCACTGCCAGCTCCTTCAGGAGTGCTGGCTCCGAGTGCACAGTAACAGTAACTTATCACCAAGAAGGCAAAATGAAGCCTCATTTTTCTTCTGTTTCCTCCGCCAAAAAGGATGGTTGTTAGACTAGAAAGGATAGCAGAAGGATGGGTGGTAGGAAGCTGAATGCCAGGACAAACAGGGACAAAGGAACACCTAGCAGGCCCTGATGAATCTAAATCACTCAGTGGAGACATACTGCATCTAAGGATCCTGAAAAAACTGGAGAATGGGATTACTGGGCCAACATCAGAGATCTCTGTATACTGTGGATAACAGAAGAGGTGCATCACAGACCGGAAAAGGCAAATTCTGGTACAATTTTAAGAAAAGAAGGAAGATAAGAGTATAAAAACTTAGATCAATAAGCTTGACTTTAATTTAATGATGTCTTATCAAAATGGGTAGTCACTGGCCATCTAGAAAAGGAAGCCATGATCACAAAGAGTCATTGTGACTTATCAAGAACAAGTTACACCAAACTAATCTTATTTTCTTTTTGGACACAGTTACTAGACTGACATATAAGGGGACTACTATATATATATGTATAACTTAGATTTTACTTAGATAATTTGTAGGAAAAAAAAAGCAACAACCCTCTCATGCTCGAATCCAGAAGGCAGAACAAGGGGAAATGTGTAGAAGTTAGAGAGAGATAAGAGTCAACTGAATAAGAAAGAACTTCCTAACAATTTGAGCTAACAAAAGTAAAACAGGCTGCCTTTGGAAGTAGTGGGTTACCCCCTCATTAGAAATCTGGTGAAACAAATGGAATATTACCAATCCAAATCACTGTTTCCTTAGATGTACTAATTTTCACCTGCACATTTACTTTTCCCCACTGAGGTGTCACTATATTGAGCTGGCCCAAGAAATTAAATGGGGAGTTTTGCAGAAGCCACAGACAACACATGAAGGCCAGCAGATGACAGAAAAAGTTTAGAAACTGAGAAATGCATAAAAGATAATGTATAGCATTATATAATATCAACCTAAATTTTACATTAAGGTACTGTAAACACCTCATAAATGAAAAAGAAAATTAAGATTTCTTCTCTGGTACAAGGGAGGGCCAAAAAATTTTACTCAGAATCTGATGGTGCCATGAAGAGCTAAACAGGAAAGAGAAATCATAAGAGACTTATTAAGGTTGAACTGTTTACATTCCTGCATGGAAAGATGATATTTAGAACTCATGAGACCTTTGTCAGTATTAGGGTAGTTGGAGGGGAAAAAATTATAGATTTATAGATAGATAGATAGATAGATAGATAGATAGATAGAGGGCACAGGGTGAGTTGAAGATTAAGGAGTCATATCTGGTGAATAAAATTAAGGGATGAGAGAGGATTATACTAGGAGAAGAAAGGGAAAGGCAGAATGGGGTAAACTATCTCACAAAAAACAGAAAAGGCTCTTACAGTGGAGGGGAAACAGGGGAAGGTGAGAGAGAATGAATGAATCTTATTCTCACAGGATTTGGCTTAAGGAGGGAATAACATACACATTCAATTGGGTATGGAAATCTGTCCTACCCTACAGGAAAACAGGGGGGGAAGGAGACAAGAGAACAGGGGAATGATAAAGAGGAGGGCAGATTGGGAAAGGGGGTAATCAGAAGCAAATACTTCTGAGGAGGGACAGGGTCAAAAGAAAGAACAGAATAAATGGGGGGGCAGGATAGGATTAATGGAAGTAGAGTTAGTTTTTCACAATACGTGTACTATGGAAGTGTTTTGCATAGCCGCACATGTATAACCTATATTGAGTTGCTTGCCTTTTCAATGAGGGTGGGTGGGGAAGGAAGAAGGGAGAAAATTTGGAACTCAAAGTTTTAAAAATACATGTTTTAAAAAAAATGTTTTCACAAGCAACTGTGAAATAAGAAATACAGGAATGGGGTACAGAAGTCTATCCTGCCCTACAGGAAAATAGAAGGGGAAGGGGATAAGAGAAGGGGGGGAGAGACAGAAGACAGGGCAGACTAGGGGAAGGGGTATTCAGAATGCATGCCATCTTGGGGTGGGGGAGGGGAGAGATGGGGTGAAAATTTGGAACTCAAAATCTTGTGGAAGTAAATGTTGAAAACTAAAAATAAATAAATTTGTATTAAAAAAAAAAAAGAATTTGATGGGTACCAGACCATCAATCCCTACAATGTGGAAGGGATAGCTGCACTACCAGACAGAAACTAGCCTGATTTAAGTACTGAATAATGCAATGCAGAGAAGCTAAATCAATGCTAACTTGCTAAAGGCTTTTAATTGCACCATTTCTTTAAACTTTGTTGAATACCTTTGGCAAAACATAACTATTCGCAAAATGCTCAATCTATAATTACCAATAATGACATTAATATGTTTAAGTGCTGTAGTGGAGGATATAAAAAGGAATTATAGACTCTGATAAGCAGAACTCCCAATGGCTAATGGTTTAATCTATTTGCTCTCTTACTGATGAAGAAAACAATTTAAGAGATTTGATGCAAGTTTTGTTACAAACATGTTTTGTACACAACAGGAGAACTTTCTTTTAAGGCAGAAGCAACTTGAAATTATTTTTGTGAGGGAAGAAGGGGGAAATATCACAATCTGATTCATGCAAAAAGAATACAATAGGAAAAATCACTTTGCCTCCCTAGAGATGACAAGACATATGCTGGCACAAATCTGACCATGTCAACCCTGACTCTGCTGAAGAATCTTCAGCACTTCCCAATAGCCCAGGGTTAAGCTAAGAGTCCTTGCACTCTGGCTTCGGCCAACCTTCCTAGACCTGCAGTCTATCCCTCACCAGACTCCACAGGTCTGCCATCCTCCAGAATTTGCCTGCTGACTCTTGCTTCTATGTCCTTGCACAGGCCACCTGGAATACATTCTCTCCATCTATTTCAAGGGTCCATGGCACAAAAAAGGTAAAAAACTCCCGCACTAGTTTTTGGGAGCTCTTTCTTGGTCTAATGATGATTTATCTACTTACTTGTTCACATTGTATAGTCCCCTAGTAGAACACAAGGTCCTTGAGGAGGGCGGCTTCCCCCAACCCCCGCCATATATTCAGATCTTAGTCTCTACAACCAATGTACAAAAGCTGCTCAGCTGAGAGAATTCAAGTTGTGACTAAAAACTAAAAAAAGAAAGAACCCATGAGGTATGTTGGATTTCCCAAAAGCCATAGACATTGCTGAGGGGAAGGGGTGGGGGGGTTGTCTTCTAAACCCTCTGCCCAGCAGCCTAAATGAAGCTCCCTGGGGAACCAGCAGACTTCTTCGTCTACATTAATGATATTATTAAAAGGATAATGATGCTGACCTTTGGTCAGTTACAAGTTACTTTTTGTTTCATGAACTCTACTTGTGCAATTATGTTTTTTCAAACTGAACCTGGCATTTGCTGTATATGCTATAAAACAATTATGATATTCTAAAACAAGAATTAGAGATGAAAAAGAATAGGTTACTGGTTAAGGAATACAGTTTTGAGAGCTGTTATCTCAGGACCACAGGTGATTGGATATCCCAATGGGGCAGGGCAATAAATGGCTTCAGGAGCAGGCAGTGTGGGCATTTCAAGTACTTGGCCAAGGAGGGAATAAAATCACTGTCAGCTACTTAAGTCCCATTTGGTTACTTTGAATAATATTAACCTTCAATTTAATCTACATTAATAATAAAGCAAAATCAGTACAGTATTGTTTTCTTTCTTATGCTTAAATCTCATGAGAAATACTCATTTTATTGTGAAAATGACTAAGCCAACAAAGAAACACTCAAAATCAATGTTTACAAGCCCTACAACAAACAAGTCAACCATACCTGTTACAATAATCAACAACAGACTCTCGGGTTGTAAACAAAGCTTCTTCTCCTTTCTTGGCCTTTGCCCATTTGGAGTCCAAAAGGCAATCTACTGCTTTTGAAGCTAAAAGGGAAAAAAAAAGTTTATTACTATTATACTACAGAATTATTATTACTTACAGATTATTATTATACTACAGAATGAGAATACATACTACTTATCAAACTCAAATTTTATTAAGTAAATTCCTAAGGTCATGCAATTAATAGACCTCTGTACTGGTATATAGCAACCTCACATTCCAAAAGCGAAATTACTAAAAAGCAAAGGGCTTTCTAATCAAAATAAAAAATGTTTATGAACCCTGATTAGCACTAATAGATGAAAATAAGTTCTCTAATTACTTGTTTTAAAAATGGGGGAGTAGAATTTAAAATACTGAACTAATTTAATTAAGCCAATGTGTTTTAAGTGCCTACTGTAATCAGGGCACTGTACTAGGTACTTTTTCTTGGTTGTCCTTCGTTCTGAAGAGGATGATGACATTGGAAAGGTGTCATGACTTGCAAGTGACCTGGGTTTAAGTGAGGCAGGGCTGTGCAAAGTCACCCGCCTCACTCTCTCCTCTGGAGCCATCTGGGTCCAGTGGCAAGACACTGCTCAGGATGACTGGAGATGGCCAGGTCTCAGTTTGTCTGAGGCAAAGCCCATTCAGTGATTAAGGGTAGGTAAGAAAAAATGAGGCAAAAAATTACCTCTTTTACCTAGTCAAAAAACAAACAAATAAATAAAAATCAAACTGGGAGGGGAAGACTCCTAGAGTTTCTGGCCAAAACAGGAACAATTGCTATTTACATTCTGAGCCATCAAAGCCCAGACAATAACCAAAGGAGGCTTGGGCTAAAACCTATGGTTGACCAATCAATGAGAGCCAGAGTGATCTAGGTTTAAGCCAGGGTCCTTAAAAAAAGAAATCTAGGCTGTAAAAAACCCCAAGATATCTTGGGAGGTTTCTGCGATCAAAATTTATACTGCTAGGTGCTAATATGTACATCTACAGCAAGATAATTTTAACTTTATTGTTTATATTATCTGATTTAATTTCTTACATTCCTTTGAGATAGGCAGTATAACACCCCCTTTTTACACGTGAGAAAGGTAAAGCTTTAGAGAGATTAGTGACTTCTTATGGCCACACGGCTATCACATGGCAGGGCCAGGGATCAAAACCACAGGGTCTGATTCCAAGTTTAGTGTTCTACACTTGATCTTAACTGAAAAAGGTGCCTTGGATAACTGAATCCAAGGAGAGGAACCCCCCCTCCCCCCAACTCTGTTATATAAACACATCTGCTAAGTGATTCCACCACAGGATCAATGAGTAATATGGGACCAATAAAGGCAATCTTTATAAGCAAGCCAATGTTGCTGAAAAATTAAATAGGAGAGAAAAGATTAAATTGGCATGCCCATCATTCCTGGGCTTTACATGAATGAAACAAAACAGTTTATGGGAGCAAATCAAATACAGAAAAGATATACAACTGAAGGAAGGAACTCCATCTTATTTAGACCAATGAGGTGAACACCCAAAATGCAGTTTATACTACATTGCCCTGTGTATCACAGTCCTTGGGTCATACTAAACTGCTGCAATGGACTCCAGAAAGCCCAATACTGAATTCTCCTATAGAGAAAAAACTGAGAGAAATTACGTGTATTTAAGACACAAACATAACAACAACATTAGCTGACAGCAGTTGTACAAGCTTTATAAAAAGCAGTATAAGAAAAAAAGTTCAAAATTTATTCATTAACGTAAAGGAAAGCACTTAAATAAAGACATCTGAGAAACAGCAAAACTTAAATATCTTTAAAAGATCTGAACTGATGTGATTATTTTGTTGTAATCCTACCAATAAAGTAATCAACCCGGTGACCCAGCATATTTGTGGATTTTGTGGGACAGTTGAAGCGGAGATATTTGGCCACTGCCTTTTCCTCTTTGGATGGTTCACCAACTTCCTGCAAAATGAAAACTTTATTTTTGCGTAATCATTCACAGAAGAAATTTTAGACTCTGTAAATTACATTTACAAAAGCTTATTAAGGATCTTTTAGACAATGTGATAAAATAATGAAAAAATTAAATCAGGACTTGGTTTAGTGTTGAGTACTGACAAGAGTTTAAGAGTAAACATTTCCAGGCAAACTCTTGAGAACCACATCCTCAACCCCCCTTTTGGAAACTTTAAAATTTCATTATGATATAAAGCTGTTTCCAGGAATTAATCTACATTCTAAAAATCTAAAGTCAATTCTCGGTTATTCATACTTACAAAATATGGTTTGTGCATTTACAATTTACAATGGGCATGCCTACATTAACATCCATGAATATTGGTGCTAACGGGGAATTTTGTTCAAATAAAACAGTGTAATCATGCTATGAAGAGCTGGTTTGGACAGTGTGACGTGATCTAAATAGCTCATCCTGTTCCTTCTCTCCATCTCGGTTCTCCTCCCCAAACCCTGACACTCCAAAACAAAGGAAACAAAACGCTCTTCTCTCTACAACACTGTCAATACCAAAACCGGATCTCTCATGGCTTCCCTAGAACAAGCGGTTACTGCAGGGAGACCTGCAAGGAGAGATGTCTCTTCATGAAAAGTAAATGGGGCAAAGAATTAGAAGCTGAGGGGATGCCCATCAACTGGAGAATGGCTGGACAAATTTATGGCTATGAATGTGATACGATGCTATCGTGCTGTACAAAATGATGAAGGGAACAGTTCCAGAAAAACCTGGGAAGACTTTTATGAACTGATGCAAAGGTGACATGAGCAGAACCAGGAAAACAACTTACACAAGACAATCAACTGGGAAAGATTTAGAAACTCTGATCAACAAAATGACCATCATAATTCCAAGGACTCAAGATGAAACATGCTATATATACACCTTGAGACAGAGAGCTGCTGGACTCGAGTGCAGACTGAAGGCTACCTTGTTTTTCTCTCTTTTTCTTGTTATGGCTAATGTGGACATTTATGTTGCACGTGTATATATTTGTAATGGATTTTGACTTTCTTGCCTAGCCAATAGGTGGGGGAGGGAGATAATTTGAAAATGAATATAAAACAAAACTGAATTTTTAAAATTTACTTAAAAGTAAACAGGGAGAGTTGAAGTTAAAAAAAAAACCACAAAACCAAACCAAAAACAAAACATACAAGCAAAAAAGAACTACGTGAAGTGATATGAAAGATGTTGCTAGTTTTCCTTGGCCCCTCATCATTCAGTAATGTATTCTGAGATTTAAAAACCTTTTCTGCCTTCCTTTTAAGCTGGCATCCTATCTCTAATTTCACTTTCTCAGCTAAATGTCTAGGAGGAAGAATCTATATTCACTGTCTCTACTTCCTTATCACCCACTAATTTTCAGTCCTTTTAAAACTTGGCTTCCTACCAGAGCATTGTATTGAAACTTTTCTCAAAGGTCACCTCTTCTTTGCAAAATAAAATAGTATTCATCCTCCATGACCTTTTTGCAACATTTGATACCTCTCACTCTAACCTTTCCTGGGATACGTTCTTGTGGTGAAACTTCTCTCTAAGACACTGCTCCTCTTTTCATTCTCCTATCTATCCTAGGTGATGTTAGTATAGTTTATCAACCCAGAATGAGTGTCTCAAGGCTTTGTCCTATTCTTTAATCTCTTTAAACCTCCAGTATTCTGACTCATTTCCATGGGGATAATACTTAGACCACCTACAGAAATGCTGAGGAAAACCCTACTGTAAACCTTAAAGGGAAACAAATGTAAACTGCTTAACTACAGGCCAATAGCTCCAACAGTGTCTCCACCTAAGCACTATGCCTCTCAGTGCTGCCTATTACTTCATTACCAGTCTAGATTCCACCTCAAAAACAAATCATTCTGAATTTCACTGAATGGCCAACCCAAGCTTCTGTTGCTCACTGTTTGGGTTTTGATGGCTAGGAATGAGTGTCAACAGCAACTGTTTTCTGTTCTGGCCAGAAACTCTGAGGATCTTCCCCTACCAGATTTATATCTTCATGAAGCGAAATTGGGCCATCTTCTGTCTCAACTCTTACCCAGTCCTCAGTCATTGAATGGATGTGGCTTCAGACAAACTGAGACCTGGAAAAGACCTAATTTGGAAAGGCCAAGGTCATCCACTGCATTCTGGGCCATCACCAGTGGTCTTGACCTTTGTCTTGTCACTGGCCTTCAACGACTGGCGGAGCGAGGCTGACTTTGTGCAGCTCTGCCCCACTCACATCCAATTTACACACAAGTCAAGACATCACCCTCCTGATGTCATCAGGCTTCTTCCAGAATGAAGGAGGAACAATTCTGATACTGAAATTTCAATCCTCTATATCTTTCCTGTATCTTTTTCAAATATATTGCTTACTTCCTCATCTTATTTTTGAAGATGATTTTTTTGAACCCTGGTATAAGCTTTAACTTTTACCCTCCTTACATTTCACACAAGATTTGACCCACAATTCCATCTTGTCAACATTTTTTTTGGATCCTGGAAGTAAACACATCTGTTTTGTCTCCTTTGTGAAATGGATAAACATTTCATTCATATGTTTATCCAAGTATTAGATTTTTTAAAAGTTACACAGCACAAAGTTAGGCAATAAATATTAAGGACCTACTATGTGCTGGGCACCACATTAAACGCAAGAGATTCAAAACCAAAAGACAGTCTCTGTTCTCACAGTCTAACGGGGAAAATAACGTGCAAACAGCCTGGCATGGATTCCTGATTCACTAGGTTATCCCAAGCCCCTTTCCGGGCACCATCAGATTATCTGATGACTGCTCTTTGGACACCCGTAGGCGCCCCTCAGGGTTCTGTTCTGGACCCTCTTCTCTTCTCCCTTTCTCTCATCAATTCCCCTGGATTTAATTGCTATTTTTATGCTGATGATCATCAAACTTACCTATCGAGTCCCAACTCTCTGCTGACCCCCAATCTCACTTCCCCAACTGCCTTTCAGACATCTCAAATCCAATAGGTCCAAAACAGAAATCATTATATTTCCACCAAACTGTCCCACCTTCTACTTTCCTCATTACTCTAAAGGGCAGCGCTGTCCTCCCAGTCCTTTGGCTCGCAACCTAGGAGTCATTCCTGGATTCCTCCCTCCCATGTCCAAGCTCTTGCCAACGCCTGCCAATTTTACCTTTGCGACATCTCCCTGATAAGCTCCTTCTCTCCTCTGACACGGTGGCCATCCTGGTGCAGGCCCTCAACACCTCACTCCTGTATTACTACAGTAGCCAGCTAGTAGGTCTGCCTGCCTCAAGTCCCTTCCCACTTCATTCATCATCCATTCAGCTACCAAAGTGACATTCCTAACACACAGGTCAGACCATGGCACCCCCCTACTGAATCAACTCCAGTGGCTCCCTGTCACCTCTAGGATCAAACACAAAATCCTCTGCTTGGCATTCAAGGCTGTTCATAACCTTGTCCCTTCCTAACTTCCCAGTCTTCTTATTACACCTTATTCCTTGACCCACACTCTTTGATTCTGTGACTGGCCTAGCTTTTCCATGAACAAGACACTGCATCTTTTGGCTCCAGGCATTTTCTCCTGCTTGGGAATGCTCTACTCCTACCTTTCCATCTACCAACCTCCCAAGCTTCCTTTAAGTCTCAATTAAAATGCTACCTTCTACAGGAAGCCTTCCTGCCAACTCCTCTTAATTCTGGTGCCTTCTTATTTATCCTGCATATAGTTTGCTTTGTATATATTTGCTTGCATGTTGTCTCCCCCATTAGATTGTGAGATCCTTGATGGCAGGGATGGTTTCTTACCTCTTTTTGTATCCCCCGCACTCAGCATAGTGCCTGGCATATACTGGTGCTTAATAAATGTTTTTATTGATTGAATGATTGTCAGCAAGTGGAAGAACATAAGAAGGGGAGAAAAGTAAGAAGGGGCCACGACCTGAGACACAGAGACTAAGCAGCAGGCTATTCTAATAGTCCAGGCAACACATGATAAGGACCAGTACTAGGGTGGTGGCAATGTCAGGGGACAGAAGTTGGTATATATGAGAGTTGTTATGAAGGCAGAATCAACAGGACTTGGCAGGAACCAGAATATTGAAGGTGGGAGAGATAAGGAAAGTGAGATGTCAATGAAAACTAGGTTTTGAACCTGGCTGACTGGGAGGATAGTGGTACCTTCAACAGCAATAGGTAAGTTTGGAAGGGGGAGGAGGCTTTGGGGGGGAAGAGAATAAGCTCAGTTTTAAACATGTTGAGTTTAAGATATATATGAGACATCCAGTTCCAGATGTACAGCAGGCAGCTGGAGGTGTGGAACTGGAGGTCAGAAGGTTAGGGATGGATGAATAGTTCAGCAAATCATCTGCACAGAGATGAAAACTGAATCTGATGATCTGACTGAACGACGAAATTGATGCTGATGAGACCAGTGAGGAAAACAGTATAGACATGAAAAGAGGATCCAAGAAAGAGCCTTGAGGGAGCATCCAAAGTCAGCAGATGCAACCTGGATAAAGATTCAACAAAGAAGACTAAGAAGGTGTGGTCAGATAGGTAGGAAAAGGAACAGGACATAGCAGTATCACAAAAACCCTACAGAGGAGAGAGCATTAAGGAATAGAGGATGGTCAACAGCATCTCAGCTCTACACGTATCTTCAGTCACTTTAACTTTTCTGCATCTCTGTGTCTCCAACCACAAAAAGACTGCCAGAATCCCAAAGAAAACTGGAATGGAGACAAGCCAGGGCAGATGAAAGGTGTAATCCTGCAGAAGGTGGTGAACAGAACTTGACTTAAGCACAAACCCCCAAACTCAGAAACTGGGGCTGGAGATAGAAGGGAACAGAATAAAACATATTAAACTCAACAGAGAAACAGACAGGCACAGAGAAGGGGGTGAGTTTAAGAGAGAACGCAGGATAAGTTCAACTCAATTCAATAAATTTTTGTTAAATGCCTAT